GCAATGAGGTATATTTATAAGAACATGTAAAATGAACAAAAAAACTACAAAGGAGGAAATAATACAACCATTGATACAGCATGCCTTTTATGTTCTAGAGACATACCTGACTTCTGCTCTAACATTTTGTGGACGGATACTTTAGGGAATTCAGATGCAACCTGAATGACAGGCTTGAACTTTGGCACCTCATTCAGGTTTTGGAAAGGAATCGGGATCATTTTCCATCTGTTCAAAACTGTCCCATCTACATAAACAGAAGACAAAATTCCCTACAAAATCAAAGTCAGGAAAATGGTCAAATTATCTGTTAAACTAGGAAAAACGCAGCAGCAGACTATAGGCATTGATGCTGTATGGTACTGTGGTGGTTTTAAAGAACCAGTTTTCATTGACAAACAAGCTCATTAAAATGAAGTTTCCCTGAAAAAGGAGCATAAAGCTATCAAATGACCATTTTAAATATGTTACCAGGTACTATGCAATGTATTGGCTTATTCAAGGAATTTCTCTCACCTTCTACTGCACACTTTCATTTCCAAAGAAAATAAGTTTTCAGCTCCCATCAAAACAACAATTACAACAACAGACTTTCTATATCTACTATTAAAAGTGCACAATTCCAATTAATAGCAATGAATGATGATTTGACTGATGCCAATAAATAAACATGGGCATCGACCTAACATCATTTCAGAAAGAAAAGCACAATTTTCTGCTCTACAGGCAAGTTTACCTTCCTGTCAAACAAGTGTGGTCCATAATTTACACGACCCATGTTTTCAACCTGCATGCATCAAGTTGTAGAAACTTAGATATGAAATACGTGTATGGTTTCAAGTTTTACATTAAAAATTGATTATATAATTCTTGTTTCTCAATAAAAGACAAAAGGAGAAAAAAAAATAAAGAATGAACTGAGAAGACATTGCTGCTTAGCCATGGAGAAGCTGTGTTCACATGCCACATTTGTTAGGTATGTAACTGAACAGTGAATAAAATTTTGTTGAATTGATTTCGTCCATTATTCCCTGTTACCAAACACTGATTATTAACCGTCTATTTACAGGATGTATAAACTTAATCATTCCAGAAGACAAAATATTTTCACTATGCTGCCATTTAACAATTACAAAGAACTTAGAAAAAAGAAAGAAAGAACTAATTGGCAAAATGTCATAAGACACGAGGGTGATCTGTTCAAAGCCAGAGGACAGTTAGTTACCAAAATAAATAAGCTGGTGTTAGAAACACATTTAGCATTAGGAAGGTAAATTGCTTGATTTGACCATCTTTCAATTGTACCAGCATATGATACTCGTCCACCATCAGCTCTAGAGGGGCATGATATGAACACTTGAGCTCTGTCATGCACCTGCAAGAATTATATGTAGAGAAGTAATAATCTTTTAGACTATTAAATTTCTATGAATTATTTGTCAATATTGAACTATTAAGGAAAGAAAATTCAATATATAGCGATGAGGCAAGAATGAATTAGTAAGCTTAACTATAAAATGAGGAAGAAGGCATACCTTTGGTATAAATAGCTTAGTTCCACCAGCTTTCGATGCATATTCAGATACATATAATAGAAATCCAAACATCTGGACATAGGAATAACAACAAGAGACAATATTCAGCAATTTTGGATTTTGATGACATGATAAACATAGAAGCTAATAAGCAACAAAGCCACTAATTTGCGCACACCTGGTAGAAATACTCCATTGCAGTTGGATTTTCAGCTTCAACAATGTGTGCAGAGTCAAACCCATCAAGTAAATCAAATAAACTTGCTGTTTTTTGTAACTGGATAGAACCATATCCTGTCCTTTTATTACTGGAAGGAAACGAAGGAAGAGATACTGAACTATATTTCCCCACCACTCTCCTTATGGCTAAAGGCAGAAAAGATTCAATGAAAAGAATATACTACTGTTAGAAAATCACTTGCAAAATAAGATAGTAGAAGGTTGTTTATCTCAACTATTATATTGTATACAAGTAACAGAAAAGCCTGACTGCACAACAAATTGGAGAAAACAATCATCACACAAAAATGACTCTCAATGAGAGAGCTGAGTGTAAAAATAAACAGAAAAACTAACAAAAATGCAATATGTTTGAAAGATAGGAGCTTCCTCCATTTGAAGTGTGTGAGCAGTTGATACCATACTCAGGTTTTGAACACATAACCCATTCCCCATGCATTTAACTTCTAATCATGAATCATGTTATTAGCAAAAACAAGACAAGTAATTAGACGGAGCCTGTGGAATGGATTTTCAATGTATGAGATGTAATACACTGCAGTTCTCCTTGGTGTAAATTTACTCATATTCTCTACTATAAACAAGAGGCATTCGAATGCTATTGTTTGTAACTTCTGACAATTTCAAAAGATGGTAACACTCAGGCCATTAATTTTCATCAACATGTGCATCAATTTCAGAAATTGTTGATTGGTTAAAACTGTAATTAGTTGCTACATTCACATAAAAGCCACACCTATAGAGAACGCTGTTTTCCTCTAACACCAAATGACAGGATGATGCCCGTCTAAATTAAAGGAAGTTGAATAGGTGAGCTTCTTCTGCCATTGGTGTAATTCATCTGCTTAAATCCCTCTATCTCCTGTCTAGCACATCACTCTGTATCCACTAACTCATTCAAAGTTATAAGTATCATTCTTGGACACTGAAGGTGTCTATCAGCTCATCAAAATGCATTTTTCACATTGATTAAGATGCAAAAAATCGGGCCAATAAATTCAAGATTTACATGTAAAGTTTACAGAGAGACCATGGACCACGTAGTTTTACTTTTCAACAAAGCCATGCAAAATTTTCAACATATTATCCCTCTAGTCTTGAAATATTCAGCCAGAAAACATAGGATCATACCCTTGAATTTTGCATTGTCCACATCACCAGACTCCGTAATTGGCGCATCCTGGGTAAAGTAAAACCAATTTGAAGCTTGAATGATTTTGCAAAAGTTAATATATAACTACAACGAGGAATAACCATACTCACATAATCGTAGGAAGTTAGATCAGGCTTGTAATCTGACTCATCGGCACCTGTATTTGCCCCATTATAAAATCCAAAGTTTGTTCCACCATGTGCCATCTGGAATTTGAAAGCCTAATCATAGCATGTCCATACAGATCATAAGTTCACAGCAGCAAAAGTAAGATAGGAAGACATACGTAAAGCACAACAGAACCATTTCGTGACAAAATCTTTTCCAAGGCAGCTGCGGTAAAATCTGCATCTGTCCTTGCAATCTTCTCACCCCAATGTGTAAGCCAACCTGTATAAAACTCCCTGAAACAAAAAAGCATTGCGAACATTAACATAGTTATCAATTAGCATAAATAAAAAAAAGACACCTACGAAGAAAGTGGCGGTGATTTCCCAGGGGAATTGAACTCCTTCTGTAACTCAAATATGGGCCAAGGATCATCCCCAGTAGTGAAGTCAACAGCTACATATCAGAAACAAGTATTAACTTAAGCAACTGTGGGCATGCACATGCAGACATATGCATGTATGGTATGTATCTTTGTTTAAATGTAAACATTTTGTTTAAAACATGCAATTCTCTGACACCTAAACCTAGAAATCTACCATCAAATTAACGATCAAATTCATCTTTGGGGAAAGTTCGTGGATAAAGCAGATGCAATTGTTAGTGAAGAAACTTTCAAAAAGCATAGATGAATATGAGACTATAAAACAATATAGTAAATCCAAAGAAGGCATTAAGATAAAGTCATTACATTATACCCCTTTTTCCCTTTTATCTTTTTCTCTTTTAGAGTTGGGAGGGGAGCAAATATTTTATGATAATAAGAGCTAAATTTTCAAAGCGCTGATGACTTGACCCAGAAAAGAGTGGCAAGGAATAGGTAGATTATTATCCATTTCTTAGGTTATGAGATGCTCTGTTGCTATATTTTCATAACTTATCAAATAAGAACATGCTGATCCTGAGCAGTACCGGAAAAGACATCATCTCCTCCAAGGGTTCCTTTTTCAAGAGTTTCTCGAGAACCTCCATCTGTAGTATACCTGAAACCATTAAAATCCATCCAAATAAATATATAAATAATCAAAAATAACAATGCAATACCGTGCTTGACGTCATTTGATCAAAGCAAGTTTCTTGACAATACTTCTAATTCATAATAATATCAACGAAGTAAAGTAAAATATAAGACTGGATATATAAACTACTACTCTGCCATTCTGCGTGCACAGAAAGAGAAGATAAGAAACTGAACCAGTCAATATTTGCAGGCTCAAGTAAAGTCCTTTTTCATCTAGTTAGCAATAAACATAGTTTTTTATAGTTATCACCTCTCAAAGAGTCTAAGAAAATTCCTAGAAATCGTATCATAGTCAAATATCCTAGATGAGCAGAGGTAAATAGGCATTGGCTACGCAATGCTTGGAGAAATCCAGGCTATGCGATGCATCGGCCTAAATGCCTGCCTCATCTGCCAGGTATCTCCTTAAGCACTCTAATAGAATGTCAGTACCACAGTGATGCAAACCTGTTTTTGCTGTAGAATTAGATTTTACATGATAAACCAGAAGATTATCCAATGGCTGAAGATTACAGGAAAAAACTTCTTACAAAATAATGTCTTCCCCAAGATGTCCTCTAGCCAACTTCACCAGGTGACGAAGATACGCTTTATCATCTCCATATGACCCAAATTCATTTTCAATCTGTGACAAAAAATAATATCTCATTTTACTGTAATTTTAGTAACATAAAATGTTGAAAGTTTCAGAGAATGACATCACAGTACAAATGAACATATAGTTCATTGGAAGGAACAAAATGTGGGATGTAAATAAAGGGAGTATGACCCTTTTTTCCGTGTGATATGGAGAAAATAAATGAAAGGACAAGAAACATGTGAAAGATGCATTTCTTTTAGGTACACCATATATAATCTATCAAAAGGTGGGTGACAAAACCAACTTAGCTGGAAGGTTATCTATCTTGACCTCTATTGGGCTCATTTATTTGTTCCCTTAAATAATTTGTCACTCTTAACCAAAAAACTAAAAGAAAATGAGGCAGTTTAAGCAAAGTCTAGTTTTAGTTTATCTTAGTCTCACTGTTTTTGGTCCAAGTATCTTCCTAGATACCACCGTTTGTGTTCTCATCATGAGAGTGCCATAGTTCATAAACATTGAACTCAGCTCAACCACCCAGCTAGCCTTAATTCCAGATAGTTAAGCTCAGCCACATGAAGCATCTGGCACAGTTACCAGATGGAGAAATTTGTTTTAGAAAAAAGACACAAGTGGTTCTATGATTGCTTAAAAATCCGTAGAGATAAAACAGAGTGGCATCTTTGTTTTCTTAAAGAAATTTTGACTAGCAAATAAAATATATCATGGAACATAGTTACATATGGAACAGTACATATTCTATGCGTACCTGAACCATTATTATAGGGCCTCCATTACCATAAAGAAGAGGAGCTACTTTTGGAAATAGGACTCCCCACCATCCTTCAACCTGTAACGTCACATTAAAACATAATCCAGCAAAATACAAATGCCGGTTGGTCCATCCTCTGAGAACATATTAAGCAAACAGAAACTATACAACTCAACTAAGGCATGCATGCTAAGCATGAAAACTCAAATGTTTTATCCAACATCATATCCCTTACTATTCCTTACTTACAAATAAAGGACTATATGAGAACATACCAATTGGAGGTAAGCAGGATCTGATGACCTTAGTCTGATATCTGGTTCTATGGCAAGTAACC